TTCATATTTTGAATATCCATAGACACTGGTTGAGATCCAGGAAATCCAGATCTATAAAATTTGTAAAAAAAAAAAAAAATGAGTTCAACATAAAAAAAATTAACCTATACAATAGAATTGGAATTACACATAATTATATAAGTACCTATTTCTTTTTTATCAAATAAATTGTTGATAAATTGCTTGTCCAACATATAATAAATTATGTAAGTATTGTATTATGATTTCAGATTTGTATACCACATTGACCACATTAAAATTTTTTCTAAATTTGTCAAAATTAATTACCGAATAAAAAATTATAACATAAGAATTCAGTWTTTTTAATTACATTTTTCATAAGTTTTAACTTACTTATAAATCAATAACTACTRTACATGAATTAATCACTATTACATGTTTAAATATAAGGTGTAATGTTTAACAAATTTCCATTACAAACATTACTACATTTGTAAAATAGTACTATTACACTCTGTATAATCAAATAGGTATAATAGGAAATATTTTCTTATTTATAATTTATATTAATTATTATTTATTATTAWGTAATTCTGTCTCTTGGTAATATTTAATATTATCTTTAACATGCGTTTTTACCTTTTCCAATTACATAAGTCTTGAGTTCTTCTTTGAATATTGCTTAATCTAGGTTGATCAAAAATAGCAGTAACACCAGATACACCTTCCATGAATACTGGGTTACGATTGTTTATTTCATTTCTAGACCGTTTACTAGAACTACAAAAAAAATTAATATGATAGTTATTCAGATTGATTCTCCAAGCATTCTCACCACCATTATAGTGGTCTGAAACGTAAACTATTTTGTGTTATYATTATTTTTTAAATCTCAATTTAAAAGTAAAACAATACAATAATTTTATAACTTCCTCAAAATTAGGATAATTTATATGTCTGATAAATGATAAAAAATGGCCTCATTAAAAATATACATCATTTTAATGGTGATTAACGGACATTTTGCATCTGCCATTTCGTCTCCATCAAGAAAACCAGTCACGGACATTTCGTCACTGGCAACTATTTAGATAGAATGTTTTGAAAATCTAATTATAATTTTCTCTTCACAAATGTGCATTGATGAGAACTAAACATACCAAAAATATTTATTGGATGGAACATTTTATACTTGTCCTTACGATTTTTATCAAATTTATATATTAGACAAAAGTATAGAAAATACTATTATTTCTATTGTATAATGCTTTACTTCACTGCTTCAGTGTAAAAATAARGATATTTATATAAAATTACAATCTGCTCTAAGAGATAAATTTGAATAATTTTCAATAATTTCAAACATTCTGTGGTAATGGCAATTAAACAATATTTAATAACTAAATGCTTGAAGAATCACAAAGCATAATTATTAATTTTAACTATTTTTAAGTTATATTAAATGAATATTGAAATAAATAATTACGGTTCATGCTCTCTTCTATCTTTAGAGTCCTGATCTCTGAAGTCACGTTTATTTCGTGAAGAGGATTCATATTTACTTGAATTATGGTTATTTTCTTCTGATTCTGAAATTATAAAAATTTACATTGATTAATTTACAAATTGAACAAATATAATTAATACAATTTAAATATTCTATATGTTTAGGAATATGCACCTATACACCAATCTGGAAGTTCTGGAGCTAGTATAGGTTCTTCATCTGAATATCGTTGAAATAATTCAACTATATAATCTTGTTTATAAATTCCAGGAGGTCTAAAATGTATAGAATTTRAAATTGATCAAAAACAACATATAAGAATGACTAKTTATACTTAGGTACTATTTAATTTGTATATAAAATAAAGACTTTTTTCACTTATAACAGTCATAACTTTTATCTACCTTCTACAACTAATTTTACTATCTTCATTGTTATGATATGTTTAATACAAATTGGTAATGACTTATGACATAGGATTAGAGTGGTTCTAAAAARTCTAAAAAAATGCTTGAACCTAAAAATATACATTGATATGCTATTTTTGATTTTTTGGATTGAGTCACTTTGTTATTTAATTGTATACAATATATTTTATTATATTATTAATAGGTCTATGTAGTATTCTTTTTATTTAGAAATACATGTCATGGTTCATGAATTTTATTCAAATTAAGTTCCTAATTATTTTACTTAAAACATAAAAAGCGGAAATTAATAAAAAAGACAAATGAAATAAAATTTTATAGATAAAAATTTAAATTTCTCAGATAAGTAATAAATTCAAATTAGAAAATTTATATTCTTGAATGGTGTGTAATAATACAATGTTCAGTTTTTATATCATTAAAAAAMATTAGAGCATTTACATGGATTTAAATACTAAATATAGATACTATGTATGTCGAGTCAATAACATGTTAAAATTGTTTAATACATTCAATGCAACAAACATGTTATTGAATTATACCACTTTTTTTTAAGCGGCAAAAACATTCTTGTATTTCTAGGAATTTTCCTGCATGCCTAAAATTAATTCAACAATTTCAGAAAAAAGTAGTATAATTTATTACCTAGCTGCCGCAAATTGAGCTATGGCACTAGTTACATCAAAATCTAATGTTTCTATTAAATAAGTAGCTATCATAAATCCTGTTCGGTTAAAACCATGAGTGCAATGAACACCTATATAACAAAAAAATTATTATTATTTGTAAAAGTAAAATAAATATATTAATTACAACCAACCAATGGACAGCAGAGGATTTTTCGCAATAAATTTTGTACAAATATCTACAAATAGTTGTGCTTGGTCTCGTGTAGGAGGTTGTTCATGACCAGCGCAGGGGATTTTTACATAAGTACAATTTGAATCTTCGATTTCAGATTTATTATAGAAACGGCTAGTTTTTGTCAGATCAATCCATAAACCTATACTTACCTAAAACAATTTTAAATATTTAATATTATATTAATTTGATTAATGAGTTTAAATATATTTAAATTAATCAATTATGGAAGGTAATAATAGTTTTAATTTTGAAAAATGTTAAAATGTTTAGATTCTAAGCAGAATGTAAGAACTATTGATTTAATAGGTATGCTTGTATACCTACATATTATATATAAACTGTGAAAACCTAAAATCCATAATTGTTGGGAGACTATTATGAGTAATATAATATTCGCATTTTTCATATAAACAATTAATGTTTTTTATTCAATAAAAAAAAATTGTTATTTTACCCAAAATTATATAGTTTTCTTATAAAAATGTACAGGTGTCCMRCTTTGAAGGAAAAAAATTGTGGTCACGTTAGGTATGCATTTCACCAGAAAATTCAGAACAGTAAATATGTTCCAAAATGTTAATGACTCATGTAATGGATATTTTTAAATTAAACATAAATTATTCTCTTTTTTAATACCTTAATATTTTGAAAATAAAGAGTACTTGTCAAGCTTTGATCAACGAATATTATAATTATTCYTTTCTAATTAAAAGTAATAGTATAATACTGAATATAATATATATTATATTATTTCTAAAGAGATTAAACAGATATCAGCTGTTTTTAAACATTTAAAATTAATATTAAACTTATAACTACTATAGAAATAATATATTATATTCCGTAGGTTATAATAAATACAAACTAATGAAATAATTCTTATAATTATTAATGCCACTTTATAATTTAATCTTAGTCAGAGTTTCTTATACATTTTCTTAAAAAGAATGAAGAAAACCTGAAGACTGAAATAAGATTTACATAMACAATTTTTATTTTCATTAGAAAAAAATCACTGTTAACTTTATATATTGTTTAATGCAATACCTTCATATTAGACATAGATGAGAACAACATTTCTGCATTGAACCTATTCTCGATAGGTATTTGATCATCATATTTACTATCCAGTGGTGTTTTGAATGCCACAAATTTTTCAGTTATAGTTGTATAAGATTTACGAGGGCATTTAATCCAACGTTCAGGAATAGGGGGACTGTGTGTTGAATATGATGAGCTAGATCCATAACGTTTTGATCCTGCAAATTGTTTGCTTATAATAAATTTAGTTTACAAACAATTATGTTTTGGTATGATATTCTACTAATGTAGTATTTTCATATGCAGATTGTGTTACCCGACATAGTTATTAATTTTTTTTCAGTTCTTAGTGRTCAGTTTAAAACTTGTATTCAAAACTTGTGTTCGATYAAGGTTCATGGTATATGATATAATTTAATTTTATAAATAAATAATATAAAAAGTCATATTGTAGTCATTGAGCATAATAATAATAGATATGCATTATGTTAATAATTAGTAATAATATAAAAGAAAAAATTATTTTAACATTTCACAGTCAGAACACATAAAAAAAGAGTTATACTTATGAAAAAAGTTGTTTTTTTATTGACTCGTTAGTCGTTACCTGTCCTATATCAAGTATCAATGATGATAAATTGATAACGTTTATGATATTTGTTTACTTTTCCGAAGATACAAACAGTTTTGTTTACTGTTCCATGACGCACTGACGTACTGATGGCTAAGATGGCTTCTTTTCTATGACGGTAAGTTTTTCGGTTCTAACTTCTGTACCAACAAACTTCCTAAAATCTTCTGAGTYAAAAAATCTCAATAAATTTTTCGCAATTCGGCATCGGTTACACGGCACCAGGCATGTGTTTTGAAATGTTTTATGCAATTATTTATGACTTATGATTATTTTGTAAACATTTTTATAGTTTGGACATCAAACCGTCGACATGGCCGAGTATCTGGCATCTATATTTGGTACCGAGAAGGATAAGTAAGCATTAAGTTAAAATATACACTGGCTTGTTCAGTTGTAGTTAGAATTAATCTGAAGTGAATTGTTGGATGCTGTTATTGTAAAATTAAATCACGCATTATGCATGGTTATAATCCTCACCTTTTTCCCCCCTAGGGTCAACTGTTCATTTTATTTTAAAATCGGCGCCTGCCGTCATGGCGATCGCTGTTCAAGAATACATAATAAGCCTACTTTCAGTCAGGTAAGTTTTCATTTAGATATTTTCTATACTCTTTTATTATTATTATCTTACAAATAAATTGCTTTAGCATTAAAATTAAAAGATAAGTGTATTGTTGTTATCAAGTGTTGATTTAAAATTACAAATGTGTCAGCTAATTATTTAATTAATGATGTGGATTGTTTTATAATAAGTTCATGAAAACATATTTTTGTTTAAAAATGTTAGTTAACATCTCAAAAATCAGATCATTATAGTTTCTTAATTAARCATATCTCTACTTATACAAACAAATTTAACAAATTGGTTGGTTAAAAATAAAAATGATTGATCATTATATAAACTATTAGTATGATATTACTATTTTAATTAAACAAAAATATTGTATACTATAGGTATCTTTAAAATATGGGAATTAAACCCCTAAAGGATAACTTATGTGAGCGTTGTAATTTTAAATTTCACAAATTATTGTTTTTTTACAAGCATCAAAGTTAAGTCCCCATAAAAAAATATCAGATATTTTACTGTAAACTAATAAGTATTTAATAAMGTTTTATAACAAATCACCAAACACCTTTTCTTAATTTAAAAAATAAATGTTATCCTTTTTGATAGGAGCTTTATTAATATAACAATATTATAGTGGATCAGATCTATAGTTATTTGAGCACAATGCAAAACTAACTATTAGATCTAGAATACCTGTAGACTCATAGGTTAGTTAATTCAAGTAATACAGCTTAAGTGTTTCTAAAAATTAACCGGTGTTTAAAAAAAAATTATTTGTTATATAGTATAATATAGTTATTTGATCATAAATTCATAAGTATCTTTATTTTTATTATGATTATTTATTAGACCTAACTTATGATTTCATTTTAAACATTTTTTTAAATTATAATTAATTTATGTAGATTTCATTTTTTTTTTTTTAGACTGTACTACTACAAAATCTTTATGTAAACCCACAGAATTCTGCAAAGTCTGCTGACGGATCACACTGTGAGTAATAATAATCAATTGAATGCAATAGTTTCTTTGTAAGAATGCAAAAATAAAAATGCTTTTTTAGTAAATTTGTGTAGTATTTTCTTTAAACAATCTTAAAAAAATATATATTTTTTGAATTTA